TGTTCATAGCAACAAAGTCCACAATAGCCAAACTGTGGAAAGAGCTGAGATGCCCTTCAACAGATGAATGGATAAAGAAGATTTGGTCCATATATACAATGGAATATTACTCAGCCATCAGAAAAGATGAATACCCAACTTTTGCATCAACGTGGATGGGACCGGAGGAGATTATGCTAAGTGAAATATGTCAAGCAGAGAAAGTCAATTATCATATGGTTTCACTTATTTGTGGAACATAAGGAATAGCGTGGAGGACATTAGGAGAAGGAAGGGGAAAATGAAGGTGGGTAATCAGAGGGAGAGACGAACCATGAGAGACTACGGACTCCGAGAAACAAACTGAGGGTTTTAGAGGGGAGGAGGTGGGGGGATGGGTTAGCCCGGTGATGGGTATGAAGGAGGGAACATACTGCATGGAGCACTGGGTGTTATACGAAAACAATGAATCGTGGATCACTACATCAAAAACTAATGATGTATTGTATGGTGACTAACAACATAATAAAATAAAATTTAAAAAAAAGAGAAAGACAAACAGCATATGATTTCACTCATTATGATTTCACTCATATGTAGAATGTAAGGAACAAAACAGATGAACATAGGGGAAGGGAAGGAAAAATAAAGTAAGATAAAAACAGAGAGGGAGGCAAACCTTAAGAGACTCTTAACTATAGGGAACAAACAGAACTGCTGAGGGGAGGAGGGTGGGGGGAATGGGGTAACTGGGTGATGGGATTAAGGAGGGCACTTGATGTAATTAGCACTGGGTGTTATATGCAACTGATGAGAATCACTAAATTCTACCCCTGAAACTAATATTAGACTATATGTTAACTAAACTGAATTTAAATTAAAAAAATTTTTTTGAAGTCAAGAAAAGCAAACTCTGGCTCAGGCATGAGTTTTACTGAGTTTTATCTTAGTCCATGATTTACAGTTGGTGTAAAATTTCAGTATGGACTTGGTTAATTATAATGCAGTTGCAACATATTACATTTTGAGTTGACTTTTGCTATACCCTGCATTGTTATGTAAAATGCTAACTTTAATCAAGAATTATTCCAATACTATATTCTTATTTGTCCTGCATGAATTTTCTCCTCTTTTGTGTAAGTTTTTTGTATGGTTAAAATCAGGGTGGAAAGAACAGGCAGGAAATATAAATTTAAGTGACATGTTATAAAAGAATTACATCACAAAACATTAAAATGGTGCACAGAAAATTTTGCCAACATCTAAGAGAATAGAAAGGATTGCATAATTAAATAACACCTGTTCTGTTATTTGGAAATGGAGCGTCAGAGTCCCTTTCCTCTTCTCACTAGACACTAAGAATCTATATGTTACATCCATTTCCTTATCCTGTACCTTCTTGGTTGGCAGCTTTTCTTGGCTCATTTCAGAAACATGGAAACACAAGCAATCAGAAAAAGTTGGGACAGAAACTTCCTCTTTCTTTCCTCTTCTTTTCTTTTTCCTTTACATATCTGCACCTACACATCTTCCCTCAAGTTCACCTTATCCATGGCTGTTGGGGAAAGTTTAATGACCAGTTTAGTTTGTCTCTTTTGTCTCACCTCTGTAACTATTTTAAGTTGAGGTCTCTAGCTCATGTACTGGGATCTGTACAATAAAAAATAAGAGAA